GGTTCTTGAAGGTGTAGTGTCACTTCTTATTATCTGAAGTCATGGTTCTTGAAGGTGTAGTGTCACTTCTTATTATCTGAAGTCATGGTTCTTGAAGGTGTAGTGTCATTCCATATTATCTGAAGTTGTGGTTTTTGAAGGTGTTGTGTCACTTGATATCCGACATCACAGTTTTTGAAGGTGTTAATGGTGGACAAGTATGTCATAAAACTACTAATTTTGTTTGATGAGAAATATTCCCTGTAAACACAGTACTTTTCATACATTTCTTACTTCCTGTAGTGTTTTATGAGGTTGTGCATTATTGAATCATCAGAACTAGTGTGAAATGATTCTGAACATTTTGTGCTGTAAGCTATTTCATATTTCAGCCATTCAAACACACATATGCATCTTTATTAACAAAGAAATGACAAATACAAAAATGTTCTCTGAGGAAGAAAAACCTATAGTTAAAGGTAATGCCGCTAATGTAATTTACAGAAAGTGGTCACAGAGTCTGTTTCTTGTTTTAATATTTGGTTGTTCCACCTTTGGCCTTGATAAATTCTTGAAATTGCCGTGGCATAGAGTGCACGAGGAACGGAATGTAGATAAGGGTGGGTTTATGATACCACCCCCAAATTAAGGCTTCCTACAGTTTTCGATAGGGTTGAGATCGAGGTTCTTGCCTGACCAGTATTGTGTCGTGATCCTCTCTCTTCAAAGATAGTCCTTCACCTAAAGCAATGAAAGAATACTGAAGATATATTTTAAATACACCTAGCATGAAATTCCCTCTTTATTTTACATCTACTGCATAGAGTGCATGAATATTACCCAAACTTTTTAGCTCTGTGACACGGAACAGGGTCAAAGATATATTTTAAATACACCTAGCATGAAATTCCCTCTTTATTTTACATCTACTGCATAGAGTGCATGAATATTACCCAAACTTTTTAGCTCTGTGACACGGAACAGGGTCAAAGATACATTTTAAATACACCTAGCATGAAATTCCCTCTTTATTTTACATCTACTCATAGAGTGCATGAATATTACCCAAACTTTTTAGCTTTGTGACACGGAACAGGGTCATCCTGGAATGGGCACTGATCAATTACACCAAAGTGATCCTGAATTGTTGGCTTTAACAAGGATTTGAGGATCTCGATGTACTTGTTGGTATTGCCAGTGACTTCCACAAAATGTAGGTATTCCACACCCTGGCAAAAGATGTATTCCCAAACTACCTGACTCTGCAGATACTTCACAGTTACATTCAAACACGCTGGATGAAACTCTTCTCCACATCGACATGAGACCTATGCAGTTTTAACTTTGAACAGTCTAAGAAGATCACTTTGCTCCACATTTCTTCAATCCATTCAACATGCTCTTTGGTCCAGTTGAGCTTCATCTTGTTTGTGAGCAGGGTTTTCTTTCTTGGCCGTCTTGCTGGGAGATGGATTGAACACAGGTGAGACTGGAAAGTGTGCATCAACAGTAACTTCTTATGTTTCCTTTCATGCTGTCTTGAGGCCTGTGGATGACGGTCAACTATTCTGCAGGCTCATGCATTTCAGAACACGATTGTCAGCAGCTGTGGAAGCTTTCTTCCTACCCCTTCCCTTCTGTTGATCTACATACATAAAGCCAGTCTCTATATATCTCTGCACCCAGTAGCTTAAGTAGGCTGGTTAAATTTAATTTTTCTAGCAATCTTTCTTGTCAAAAGTTCCTCTTTGCTCAAAGAAACAATGACTGCTTTTTCCCTGGAGTTAACTCGCAACCCTTGGCCATGATAGCAACACATGCACATGCTCCTAAACTAACTAAGTAAGAACCTCTATTTATAACCCCAAAAAATGACTGATGTAATACCGGACGGCCAATAAATCTGCTGATGTAATAATTAGACAGTATTGCAACCTTCACTGGAACACATTTGCACCTATATGTATTAGAAAATCAAGACAGACAATGTGAAAAGATTAGGTGATGCAATAAATTTTTCCATCACTATAATTATAGGCACTACTGTTATATCTCTGGTTTCAAATTTGACTGGTTATTAAGCTTTGATTGAAGCTATCTTGTTTGATAGCATACTTCAAGATAGTATTTTTGTAATTTTACCATGTTGACCTTCAAATATTTTGCTTATGATAAACTTAAACTTTGAAAATAATTATATTCAGTTGAATATTGAAGAATGGAATGCATTTTTTTACATTTCCATCACTTGCTGTATGTATAGCACTCATCGTGAGTGTATCGTGAGAATTTAGGCCTGTAATGAATTTCATGACTTAACAGTGTAAAAAAATAAATCTGTATTTAAAACTGATTCATCAAATGTGTTCTCACTGATTAGATTAAGTAACTGAAGAATTACAACATGGTGTCAAGGTTTAAAAGGTTAATAGATGCAAATCACCTCAGTTTTAAAGCTGTTACATTTTATATGAAGTACACCTTTTGCAAGTTATATGTAACTATTGTTTGTTTACAAGTACTAATAAAAATTAACTACTTAATCAGGAAAGAAAATATTGTGTCAGCCTTGTAACTGTACAACAGAACTGTATAAACCATAAAACCATGTGTAGCAGGACAACATAAACCATAGAACCATGTGCAACAAGACAACATAAACCATAGAACCATGTGTAGCAGGATGACATAAACCATAGAACCATGTGTAGCAGGACAACATAAACCATAGAACCATGTGTAGCAGGACAACATAAACCATAGAACCATGTGTAGCAGGACAACATAAACCATAGAACCATGTGT